AAAAGCTCTAAGTTATCCTGCTCACCAATATTCTTATGTTAGGCATCCAAGCTCCTGTTGTGTGCCTGCTTTTACTCCAAGACAACACTGATTTCAGTTTATATATGCACATACCATGTGTACAGATTATGACCATCTGCAGTAACAGCCAGCACAGCAGATGGAAAGATCCAGCCAGGCCTCCCATTGTAAACCAAAAAAACCCACTGAAAAAGAAAGCTTTTTGCTCTTTTAAATAGTTTAATGATATCTTTATATGAACTTAAAAATGTATTTTCCAACATTTTTACAATTTTAAGAAAAATATTTCTCTGCCTGACAATGTCAACAATCGGGATATGCTGCTGTCATCTGCATTTTATGGCTGGCTAACTTTTAAGAAACAGTTATAAAAATTTCTATGCTGTAAAGTATTAAAAATACCCTCTAGCAATGTAATGTGGTAGTTATGTAATGTCCTAAACATGTTGCAGTTAATTATACAGGCAAAGATTTGTCTTACTTTCCACGGGGAGTTTACATGTAGGCATTTTCCATATCAGCAATAGGTAGTTATTAAAGAGCATTAGAAAATTACTCTTTGATTCACGCTTGTACTTGCCCAGTGCCCGCAGTGAGACGTGGCTATGAGTCCGCAGGTGCACAGAGATGCATCTGCCTAGGAGACCATTAATTTGGCAACCAGCGTAGAAGTGCTGGAAGGTATGGGTCTAGTTTCTAGTCCTCTCAAGCATGTTCGCTACTGCAGTGAAGGTAGGACTGTTACTTAGGAGCTTTGTTTCCAAGCCCCCATTCAGGAGTGGTAAGGTCTAGTTTTGTACTGGATTCAATGTGAAAGCTGTGTGAAAAAGCTGCATAGGAGCCATCGTGTCTGCGTGTACATTCCAGCCAAACACTGGTAAACCTTGTTTCGTCATTTGCTACCCACATATTGGCACAACGATACATGTCCTTGCTGTGATATATATATATACTGGCACTCCTACCAGTGACACCAACTACTGTCCTAAAGGTACGCCCTTTCCAAACAGCCAACAAGTCATTGTCTCTATTTCATGTAGTATGGATGACATATTACTCACTAATGCTTCAGCAGAAAAAATAACAGTATAGGCAGGAATATCTATTATTTAAAGTAATTTTCTTTCATCTATTTTTTTTTTAATTTTCTGAACCTAACAAACTTATATTACAGAATTCAGTACTGAATCCAGTTTCCAAGTACACTTGTCAAATTCCATTGACATTGATTTATTACGCTGCCAAGGCAGTCTTTTAGCGTTTTCCTGTTCTGTGGATTTTGCAGTTTTAATTATAGGCAATTTTTAAATAAAAATAGTTTTGAGTTAGTGAAAGACACTGAAGAACTCATTTACTTTTTCCATTTTGCCATTTGCTTTATTAGCCCTGCTTTGAGCAGGAGGTGGGACTAGACGGCTACTGTAATCATAAATTAACTCCACAGTTCCATCCTGGCAGTCTGTGCACTACTGCTACCATCTAAGAAGTTCACCGTGAGGATTTTTTTCTTGGAGATAACTCACTAGAGGTGCTCATAGAGAAAAAGATTCATCTGAAAAATCTCTCCCTGATTTCTGCTCATGGAATACAAAATTAAAGCTCTCACTGTCTTGCATTGCTTGATGAACTTCCAGTAATTATCAGACACACCTCCATCAAAACAAAGCAAAACAATACTAAAGAATAATTCATAATCTGTAGGAGGTGAAATATTGCATAGATTACGAAGAAAGAGCTGAGGTCAGGTCAGCATTTGTTAACCTCAATTTAATGCTGACTTTTTTCCTTTGGATCAGATTCAGTTTAGCGTATTTTAGCTTAGTTTAACTGGAACCTATCCTTGTCCTAATCTTAGTTTCTTAACGTGTCAGTCCTTTCCCATACGCTTCTTTACACCTCACATCCTTGTCTTCCCACAAACATCTTTTCACTTCCAAAATGTGTCTGCTCCCCACTCATACTGAGTTACTGTCTGGAAACCATGCAGAAACATCAAGATTTTGCCTTTTTTTCTGGCTTAGGAAATATTTATTTTGGGAGGAAAAATCAAATGGTGTTACATAATACAAAAAAAAGGGAAAAAACCCAACACCCTAATTCTGGCTTTACATAGTAAGACTGTCACCCACAACTTCCCTGTTAGATGCTAGTATCCACTTCTAGTTCAGTAGTGTTTACAGAGTAGAAATCCTCTTTGCTCAAGTGAGAACAATACTCTTCTTCTGGTGAACATGTACCACTCCTCTCAAATCTAGTCTCAATACTGGCAGAAAGCAGTATGCTACATATCCAGAAACCATTTAGTACACAATATCATTGTAAATAGCAACCCTTTTACGGTGTGGATTCTTGTACGTGAATAACACAAATTGGAGTCTGACTCCATCCTCTTCTAAAACTCTCCAAGCATTTCTGCTAGGACTGGCAGATTATTATCACTAACTTGCTGAGCTCTGAGCTTGAAGAAGCCTTTACTTTCCAGCATCATATAAAAAGCAAATAGAGAAACTTTTTTTCTTTTGTTTTTTTCTTCCCTATTTTGCGTGATAATTTCTGTAGCTGATAAGAGGTGTATGGAGTAAATTCTCTACATCAACAGTTTCAAGTCCTGAAATCTACTCTTGAGTTGGTGCAGACACCTCGGTGTCCACTGTCTGCAAATTAAGATTATTACTTCTTAAAAGAACTATATGTTAAGAAATAATTTGTTTATAAAGCGCTTAAGGATATAGCATACAATACACGCAGTATATTTTACTCATTGACAGATGGCCTCAGGGAATCACTAAAAGCGTAACACAGTTCTCTCACTTCGGAAGAGTAAAGCAATTTCATTTTTCTTTCAGAGTACTGATGCTGGCAAAGAGCTGAATGACAAGCAAAGAACTATGCTATTGTCTACATTTTTCTTATTGCTTTCATTTCAGCTTGTACTAACCAAGGTTGGCATTACTAGCATTTTAATATTGTCTAGATAAAAAACCACATTGATGGTAAGAAACGCTGTCTCAGAGTCATGATACTAACAACAGTAATTTTTCAAAAACCTGTATATTTTTCCAAAGTGTCTGTTCCAGGGTGAAGTCTACTTCAGTTCTGTACTATTTTCCCCAGACAAGAGATTGCCAAGCTACTTTTTTCTGTTTGTTTTAGGAAATGCTAATGGCCTCTTTCTATTGTCTGTTTCAATGCCTGACAGTAAGGAGAGGTTTTTCTTTGTCCTATGAAATATCTTATAGCTTTTGGTGAGATTAAAACAAGCCCTAGCTTGTGATTTTTTTATTAAACTAGTATTTTTTTCAATTAAGAAGAAAATCTGTTTGTTTTCCAGTCCTCTTCTATGACAAAATACTAACTCAGCAGAGGTGTTCAAAGGCTGGACTCATCCTGCCCCAATAGTGGTAGCTTCTTGTACAGTGCAGTAATGGCTAGGAGCTGCTATCAGCTTTTGAGAAGAGAAACAGCTTTGAGATGCTTGGTCCCTTTTCTCCGACGAAGCATAAGTTCTCCTAGCTTCTTCTCAGGGAAGAAGTTGAACTGAAAATCCACTGTGTTTCTCCCTCTCACTGGGACAGTAGCTGATACAGTTTCTCTGATAAGTGAATCAAGAGCCATGGTCTTGTTTTCTGCACTATAAAAGACTGTGATTAACGCTTGTTTAAAGGGATGAAGGAGGTGTTTATTTTTTCACCCCATAAAATCCAAATACATATAGCATCCTCCCAAATAAATATCAATATCTATTTTAAAAGAAAGGAATTTAAACTGAAGAGACAAGACTTGAAAACTAGAACTACATACAGATGGCTTGTGCAACCCTAGTTCTACCTTGTATGCCCATATTTATGCAATGCAGCATCTTTGCATGGCTCAGTGAAGAGGAATACTGAAAAAAGGTGCAGAATTA